AGCACTTATTGCATTAAATTTCATCATCCATCTTAAGTCCACTTGCTCAACCTATTATAGCTGCCTTATAGGGCCTTTTCTTTCATTGGATCTTTGCATCTTCAAACATGTTTATGTAGTTTTTATTCTTTCTGGAAAGTTGTATATATAAATTAGAAACAATAGCTACTGATGACATTATCCCAAAGGATAATGGATGTTATAATGCACTCCACTAGTGCTAGGTTTAGACACCAACCATATAATATCTACAGTCTGCTTGAGATGCTATGCATAGCTAGGAGCTTTTTTAATTAATACACAAGCACACTGTTAACTTGACAATATAATTACAGTAGACATCTGGTTTTCATAATTAATCCATTCCAGAAGGTTGGCCTAAATCCGAAATGTTTCCCATAAGAAATAATGTAAATTCAGTTAATCCATTCCAGACACCCAAATTATTATTATTACAATCAAAAAGAAGTGCCAAGCCACAAGGGCTATACAGCCCAGACACCCAAAAATACTAACAAAAAATACATTTTTTAAAGAATAACTACAGTTTTACATACAGAACAATATGAGAAATAAATATAAAGCACTAAATTTAATAATAAATGAACATTACACATCTTTATTGAAGACTCTTGTTGGCATATGGAAGAAGGCGAGGAGGGGAGAGGGAGGAGAGTTTATTGTTTGGAAGGGGAATCTCCCTCCATAAAGACTTCAAGTATCAAAGCCCTCTCTGAGGTTACTTCCTTTTTTTGTCTTTTACTGCCACTATGACCAGCTTGAGAGTCACTGCACCCCTGTCGCACAAAAAAATCTGTCCAGAGGTCTGTTTCTGGCATCTCTAAGATTTGCCTAAAATGGGAGAAGACATTGTCATTGAACATGTTGCAGACACGGCTTGCAACAGCTATGTTAGGTGATATTTCTCTGCAAAATGTTGCACCTCACTCCACTTTGCACAAATGTCCTTAATTGCTGAAGAAGGTACATTCTGCCCCCTCTCTTCCTCCTCTGAAGCAATATCCTCAGCTGCAGTCTGTTGCTGTTCCAGTTGAAGGTGTTGCAGCTCTTCATTGGTTAGCTCTTCCCTATGGTCTTCCACCAACTATTTCACATCCTGGCCACTCACATCCAACCCCACGGACTTCCGCGATGCCACAGTAGATTCCATAATAGGCGTAGGGTCCCCAGGGTCAACCTCAAACCCTTCTAAATCCTTCTCTTGGACACATTCTGGTCACAATTTTCTTCAAGCAGAGTTCAAAGTCCTGGAAGTCACTCTCTGCCAAGCCTTAATTATTATGCAATTGAGGATATTGAATTCATCCCTTCAGAACTCTCTTAGGGTCAGTTCAGTGTCTGAGGTCACTTCAAAGCACCTTTGAAACATTGCTTTGGTGTACAGTCTTTTGAAGTTTGAAATGACCTACTGGTCCATGAACTGGATGAGAGGAGTGGTATTAGGGGGCAAAAACTTCACTGTGATGAAATTACATTCCTCAAATAATAGGTCTTCCAAGTCTGGAGGATGAGCAGGAGCATTGTCTATTACCAGGAGGCATTTAAGTGGGAAATTATTTTTCAGGAGGTATTTCTTCACACTTGGGCCAAACACTTCATGGACCCAGTCAAGGAAAATTAGCCTCGTGACCCATGCCTTATTATTAGCTTTCCACATCAGACACAATTTACTCTTGATGACATTGTTTTTCTTGAACACTCTGGAATTTTCAGTGAGATACACCAGTAAAGTTCACTTTGAAATCCCCACTAGCATTACCACAGAACAGAAAAGTTAGCCTATTCTTCGTTGGCTTGTGTCCTGGCAGTGCCTTTTCCTCCTGTGTGATGTAGGTCCTCTTTGGCATTTTCTTCCAAAAGAGGCCTGTTTCATCTCAAATGAACACTTGTTTGGGGAGGAATCCTTCAGCTTCTATGTACCTGATGAATTCATCAACGAATGCTTCAGCAGCACGTTTGTCAGAACTTGCAGCCTCGCCATGCCTTACCACACTGTGTATGCCACTTTGCTTCTTGAATCTGTGGAACCAGCTTTTGCTGGCCTTAAATTCACTAACAGCAGCACTTGTTCCTGGCATTTTCTTTATGAAATCCGCGTGCAACTGCCTTGCTTTCTCGCAAATTATCCCCTGTGAAATCCTCCCTCCCACTAATTGTTTCTCGTTGACCCACACCAGCAACAACTTCTCCACATCCTCGATTGTTTAAGACCTCTGTTTCGTTAGCATATTTACACCTTTAGCAGCATCAACTTCCTTGATCTCTGCTTTCTTCAACAGGGTGGAACTGATTGTTGATGTAGATTTCCCATACATCTTGGCCAGCTCTGCCACATGTACATCACTTTCATATTTTGCTATAACTTTTTTTTTTAATTCTATTGTGTTTCTTACCTTCTTTACCAAAGGGTTGGCACTCTGAACTTTCTTTGGCCCCATGATGGCTTATTTCACAGTCAATAAACAATAAAAAAGCACAAAAACAATGAAGAAAGCACAAAATACAATGGATGAAGGCACAGAGTACTCTTTACTGGATGAGAGAGAGAGAGAGAGAGACTGACTGTGATACGTGTGAGGTATTGCATCCGGCGGCCAGGTGGACACGTTTCATACCAACTATTTCCAAGCGGATCCACGAAATCCAGGAGAAATTTCGTCAAAAAAAGTGCTTGATTTCTAAATTGGCCAATTTCTGCACCAGCCTAAAACCATGGGTCCAAAAATATAAATTGTTATTGGCTGTTTATGCTTGAGAAGAGGACATAACCTAAGGTGTCCTCTTAGTTGAGGACAAGCCATGAAACAAGCTCTCACTTATTTCATGGATCTGCAGGACCTTCTAGTAAACCATTCATTGTTATTTTTTGCTTTAAGAAATGGTTTGATACCACTTGTATGTGCTGTATGTTGCAGAGCTCTTCATATATTTTGTACATTTTTTTTTCTCTCTCTCCCATGTAACATTTTATTGGTTTGTTTCTCTAAATACATACTGTATTGGACCATCATAATTTCCCATCTCATTCTTAGTCTGGCTACAAATACGTAACTTTTTTTTTTAATAAATAGTGTACCTATCTTTCTCTGGGTGTGAGAAATAGCTTATATGGAGTATATTTTTTTCTTTATATGGCAAACTTTACTGAGTATACCAGGAAAAGTGTACGGTAGGGTTATAATTGAAAGAATTAGAGGTAAGACAGAATGTAGGTTTGCAGATGAGCAAGGAGGCTTCAGAGTGGGTAGGGGATGTGTAGATCAAGTGTTTACATTGAAGCATATATGTGAACAGTATTTAGATAAAGGTAGGGAAGTTTTTATTGCATTTATGGATTTAGAAAAGGCATATGATAGAGTGGATAGAGGAGCAATGTGGCAGATGTTGCAAGTATATGGAATAGGTGGTAAGTTATTAAATGCTGTAAAGAGTTTTTATGAGGATAGTGAGGCTCAGGTTAGGGTGTGTAGAAGAGAGGGAGACTACTTCCCGGTAAAAGTAGGTCTTAGACAGGGATGTGTAATGTCACCATGGTTGTTTAATATATTTATAGATGGGGTTGTAAAGGAAGTAAATGCTAGGGTGTTTGGGAGAGGGGTGGGATTAAATTTTGGGAAATCAAATTCAAAATGGGAATTGGCACAGTTACTTTTTGCTGATGATACTGTGCTTATGGGAGATTCTAAAGAAAAATTGCAAAGGTTAGTGGATGAGTTTGGGAATGTGTGTAAAGGTAGAAAGTTGAAAGTGAACATAGAAAAGAGTAAGGTAATGAGGGTATCAAATGGTTTAGATAAAGAAAAATTGGATATCAAATTGGGGAGGAGGAGTATGGAAGAAGTGAATGTTTTCAGATACTTGGGAGTTGACGTGTCGGCGGATGGATTTATGAAGGATGAGGTTAATCATAGAATTGATGAGGGAAAAAAGGTGAGTGGTGCGTTGAGGTATATGTGGAGTCAAAAAACGTTATCTATGGAGGCAAAGAAGGGAATGTATGAAAGTATAATAGTACCAACACTCTTATATGGGTGTGAAGCTTGGGTGGTAAATGCAGCAGCGAGGAGACGGTTGGAGGCAGTGGAGATGTCCTGTTTAAGGGCAATGTGTGGTGTAAATATTATGCAGAAAATTCGGAGTGTGGAAATTAGGAAAAGGTGTGGAGTTAATAAAAGTATTAGTCAGAGGGCAGAAGAGGGGTTGTTGAGGTGGTTTGGCCATTTAAGGAGAATGGATCAAAGTAGAATGACATGGAAAGCATATAAATCTATAGGGGAAGGAAGGCGAGGTAGGGGTCATCCTCGAAAGGGTTGGAGAGAGGGGGTAAAGGAGGTTTTGTGGGCGAGGGGCTTGGACTTCCAGCAAGCGTGCGTGAGCGTGTTAGATAGGAGTGAATGGAGACGAATGGTACTTGGGACCTGACGATCTGTTGGAGTGCGAGCAGGGTAATATTTAGTGAAGGGATTCAGGGAAACCGTTATTTTCATATAGTCGGACTTGAGTCTTGGAAATGGGAAGTACAATGCCTGTACTTTAAAGGAGGGGTTTGGGATATTGGCAGTTTGGAGGGATATGTTGTGTATCTTTATATGTGTATGCTTCTAAACTGTTGTATTCTGAGCACCTCTGCAAAAACAGTGATAATGTGTGAGTGTGGTGAAAGTGTTGAATGATGATGAAAGTATTTTCTTTTTGGGGATTTTCTTTCTTTTTTTGGGTCACCCTGCCTCGGTGGGAGATGGCCGACTTGTTGAAAAAAAAAAAATGGCAAACTTGGTGAATTATTAAAGATTAGTGATTATGGACTATGTAGTTAAGCCAGTACTAGTATTCAGTAAAATGTACATCTTCATATCTGTGCAGTGTATACTAGTTGCAAATATTACAGAACTAAATGTACACATAAGTTATTTTACATTTTTTTGCCATTAATTTTGTTAAAATCTTGAAGGAGAAATAACATCTTTTTCATTCTTCAGACCAGTACAGAAACGGAACGACAAAATTTAGCCACTGCTCGGGAGAGTTTGATGGCAGAACATCGGTCTTTATTACAGTCAGTGAATCAGCAGAAGCAGGAATTGGCCAGTCAACAAGCATACATAAATATCCAGCAGAAATTGGCTCATGTTTCTACTCTGCAGACCAATATCAATGGAGGTACTATGGTATGTATAAAAAAAAAAGTCCTGTTATGCTTTTGTATGCAGTGAAACCTTTATTACAATGTTTCCTTCATGACTTCATAAAGTTCAGTCATGAAAGATATGCTGCAATAAAGGTTGTACTTCAAACATAGTGTCTTTCCAACTGCTTGAATGCTTAGGCCATCTTTCATCTATTCATTGAGCTAGTATTGTACCTATACAAAGTTTTGCTAAAAGAAAATTAAAATATAATCTGGCAAAATACTGTTATTGGCGACATTTCAAACAGTTTCAATCTGCAATAAAGTAGTATTCTGTAAATGTCAGTCGTATGATAGCCTCCATTTTATTTTTACAACCAACACTTGTTTTCTTGTAGGTTCAGCCCTCATGAATTTGATTTATCAATTTGACATTTGGTACAAATGGTAACAGTTCCAAGCATTCTCCCTGTGTTGCCCTCATGAATTATCAGAGAAAACTTTCTTTGGGTTATTAACCCAGAATAACCTAAGAAAGATGAAGCTGCAACAGACACAATATAAGGAACAAATATCTCTTTGATATACCACATGTACGACTCGAGTTGCATGTAAATAAAAGGCCAAAAAATGCCAAAAGTTCTGAATCTACCAGCAACTTTAATAATACTCAGTTGTCAAAAAGCACCAATTAATTTTTACATGAGTGCTATATTCAGTAATTGATTGTAAATGTTCATTCCTTATTTTTTATTATAACCACTAATGCTTATCACTGATCTTATGTAAATCCATGGAAATAATTTGCAATTGTCCAAATCATTTGTAACTTGCTTCCTCATACTTATGATTTGAATGAATTGTACTGATACACCATGCCTAGGACTAAAAGCAAGTACAGCCTCTCCTCAGTTATCCACGTACTCGTTTACTGACAACTCGGGCTCTACAACATGTCAGTATTGTACACTGTAGGAGAATTTGGGTCATGAACAGGCAGCGTAGCAACTCAGCGTTAAGCATCGCAATGTCCTTCCTACAGCCACTCAGTACACTAGCTTTCACAGTCTCCAAGATTACATATTTGTACAAATTTATATAAATGCTGGTACAGTTACTGACAATATGTAAAGCAAAAGTAGGAGAAACATTTAGAGAGGGTGTAGTAGGTAAGTTTGGGGTGCCAGGTGTAAATGATAATGGGAGCCCTTTGATTGAACTTTGTATAGAAAGGGGTTTAGTTATAGGTAATACATATTTTAAGAAAAAGAGGATAAATAAGTATACAAGATATGATGTAGGGCATAATGACAGTAGTTTGTTGGACTATGTATTGGTAGATAAAAGACTGTTGAGTAGACTTCAGGATGTACATGTTTATAGAGGGGCCACAGATATATCAGATCACTTTTTAGTTGTAGCTACAGTGAGAGTAAAAGGTAGATGGGATATAAGGAAAATAGAAGCATCAGGTAAGAGAGAGGTAAAAGTTTATAAACTAAAAGAGGGGGCAGTTAGGGTAAGATATAAACAACTATTGGAGGATAGAGGGGCTAGTGAGAGTATAGGCAATGGGGTCGAAGATGTATGGGGTAGATTTAAAAATGTAGCACTGTGAGAGTGTTCAGCAGAAGTGGGTGCAGGAGGGAAGTGGAGCGATTGGTGGAATGATGATGTAAAGAGAGTAGTAAGTGAGAAAAAGTTAGCATATGAGAGGTTTTTTCAAAGTAGAAGTGATGCAAGGAGGGAAGAGTACAGTGGACCCCCGGTTAACGATATTTTTTCACTCCATAAGTATGTTCAGGTGCCAGTACTGACCGAATTTATTCCCATAAGGAATATTGTGAAGTAGATTAGTCCATTTCAGACCCCCAAATATACACGTACAAACGCACTTACATAAATACACTTACATAATTGGTCACATTCGGAGGTAATCGTTATGCGGGGGTCCACTGTATATGTAGAAAATAAGAGAGGTTAAGAGAGTGGTGAAGCAATGTAAAAAGAGAGCAAATGAGAGAGTGGGTGAGATGTTATCAACAAATTTTGTTGAAAATAAGAAAAAGTTTTGGAGTGAGATTAACAAGTTGAGGAAGCCTAGGGAACAAATGGATTTGTCAGTTAAAAATATCAAAGGAGAGTTATGAAATGGAGAGTTAGAGGTATTGGGAAGAAAGAGGGAATATTTTGAGGAATTGTTAAATGTTGATGAAGATAGGGATAGGGAAGCTGTGATTTCGTGTATAGGGCAAGAAGGAATAACATCTTACAGGAGTGAGGAAGAGGCAGTTGTGAGTGTGGGGAAAGTTCATGAGGCAGTGGGTAGAATGCAATGGGGTAAGGCAACTGGGATTGATGGGATAAAGATAGAAATGTTAAAAGCAGGTGGGGATATAGTTTTGGAGTGGTTGGTGATATTATTTAATAAATGTATAGAAGAGGGTAAGGTACCTAGGGATTGGCAGAGAGCATGCATAGTTCCTTTGTATAAAGGCAAAGGGGACAAGAGAGAGTGCAAAAATTATAGTGTTGGAGAGTGAGCAGGGTAATATTTAGTGAAGGGATTCAGGGAAACCGGTTATTTTTATATAGCCGGACTCGAGTCCTGGAAATGGGAAGTACAATGCCTGCATTTTAAAGGATGGGTTTTGGATATTCGCAGTTTGGAGGAATATGTTGTGTATCTTTATACGTATGTGCTTCTAAACTGTTGTATTCTGATCATCTCTGCAAAAACAGTGATTATGTGTGAGTGAGGTGAAAGCCTTGAATGATGAAGAAAGTATTTTCTTTCTGGGGATTTTCTTTCTTTTTGGGTCACCCTGCCTCAGTGGGAGACAGCCAACTTGTTAAAAAAAAAATAAAGTCTGTTGAGTATACCTGGTAAAATGTATGGTAGAGTTATTATTGAAAGAATTAAGAGTAAGATGGAGAGTAGGATATCAGATGAACAAGGAGGCTTTAGGAAAGGTAGGGGGTGTGTAGACCAAGTGTTTACAGTGAAACATGTAAGTGAACAGTATTTATATAAGGCTAAAGAGTTTTTTGTGGCATTTATGGATTTGGAAAAGGCATATGACAGGGTGGATAGGGGGCCAGTATGGCAGATGTTGCAGGTGTATGGTATAGGAGGTAGGTTACTGAAAGCAGTGAAGAGTTTGTACAAGGATAGTGAGGCTCAAGTTAGAGTATGTAGGAAAGAGGGAGATTATTTCCCAGTAAAAGTAGGCCTTAGACAAGGATGTGTGATGTCACTGTGGTTGTTCAATATATTTATAGATGGGGTTGTAAGAGAAGTGAATGCGAGGGTCTTGGCAAGAGGCGTGGAGTTAAGAGATAAAGAATCAAACATAAAGTGGGAGTTGTCGCAGTTGCTTTTCACTGATGACACTGTGCTCTTGGGAGATTCTGAAGAGAAGTTGCAGAGGTTGGTGGATGAATTTGGTAGGGTATGTAAAAGAAGAAAATTAAAAGTGAATATAGGAGAGAGTAAAGTTATAAGGATAAAAAGATTAGGTGATGAAAGATTGGATATCAGATTGGAGGGAGAGAGTACAGAGGAGGTGAATGCATTCAGATATTTGGGAGTGGATGTGTCAGCAGATGGGTCTATGAAAGATGAGGTAAATCATAGAATTAATGAGAGGAAAAGGGTGAGCTGTGCACTTAGGAGTCTGTGGAGACAAAGAACTTTGTCCTTGGAAGCAAAGAGGGGAATGTATGAGAGTATAGTTTTACCAATGCTCTTATATGGATGTGAAGCATGGGTGATGAATGTTGCAGCGAGGAGAAGGCTGCAGGCAGCAGAGATGTCATGTCTGACGGCAGTGTGTGGTATGAGGTGCGGGATTGCCAAAACTGTTGTCCAGAGGGCTGAGGAAGGGTTGTTGAGGTGGTTCGGACATGTAGAGAGAATGGAACGAAACAGAATGGCTTTGAGAGTGTATAAATCTTTAGTAGAGGGAAGGCAAGGTAGGGGTCGACCTAGGAAAGGTTGGAGGGAGGGGGGCTTGGACTTCCAGCAAACATGCATGAGCATATTTGATAATGAATGGAGACAAATGGTTTTTAACCCTTTGACTGTCGCAAGCCCCTTTCTGAAACTGTCATTCTATCGCAAAATTTTTGGAAAAAAAAAAAATTATTTTTTCTTATGAAATGATAGAGCATCTTTTCCCAATGGTAATGACACCAAAAGTATGAAATTTGGTCGAAAACTCACGGAATTACGCTCCCACAAAGTGGTCTTGGCGACATATACACGTCGGCGATTTTGCCGACTTTGAGCCCCGTTTTTGGCCAATTCCATTGTTCCATTTGACCAAATTCATAGCAATTTCTTTAGAACTCCATTTTTTTCTATCAGTTGAGTACAAGAAATAAGCCCATTTACCGATTTGAACTACCCAATAAAGTGGTCAGAAATTGGCAATTTGGCCAATTTCATGCAAATTAAAAAAGATGCCAATTTCAAAATAGGGTCCAAAATAAACAATGTAGACATTCTTGACACTAAAATAACATTGTCACGTCTCTAGGCCCCTCTTATATTACTATTGCTTTCTATTTTGATTTTTTATTCATACAAAAAATACAAAAGTTACTGTTATGCAGACTACTGCATTATTGTAAAAATGGTATAAATAATATCAGTGCACTAGTGAAAGAATATTAGACTCCCCAGTTGACGTGTATTGGACGTGTGGTGTGGTTTGCTTACTCTTGAACATTTCCGCTACTTTGAGCTCAATTTCAAGGTTGTTTTCATCGTGAAACTAATCAAAATCATCTCTATTTCTGCAATATGTTTTCCATTTTATCACGCGAGACCATGAAGACGAGAATACAACGATAAATACTATACGAAAATACACCTCAAAGTCGGGGTTTTAATCCAAAAAACGATCTTTTTTTTTCCCCATTATGCACTGCGTGCTGCAGGATTTTTTTTATGTGGTGCACACTGACCACACAGACCCATTCTCTCAAATGTTGGCCTACCAGCTTTCTCCTGCTTGATTTGAAGCTGCTAGAATT